ACGTTACAGGAAAAAAGAGAGGGAAAAACATAGACCTTGAAAGAAATCTAAAGGGAAAAGCAGTTCTATTCGATTACTTTTAGTTAAATACTTTTAATGTCATTCCAAAAAAAAAATATTTGAAACATATCCATTGATGCTTTAGTAAATTGTTAGCTTTTCTTTTGGAGATAAATTTTTGTGAAACGTTTTTTTTTTCATCAATAATACTGAAATACATATTCAAAGCTACTCAAACGAATGCCATAAAAAGTCATAATCAAAAAATAATGAAAAGAGGATGCCATTCTTTTTTTGTTGTTTTTTTAAATACCAATAAGAGTTGACCCTTATATTCGAAAAAAAGTTCAAGAACATCTCCATGTGCAACATTTCCATGTGAATTTTTTTAAACACTGAAGTTAACGCATAATTAAAATAATAAAAAATATTCTTATCAAAAAATAAAATAATTAGTTATTGTATTCATTTTTTTAATTATGAGGCGAAATACACTCATGTCCATAAATTAAGGATATTGAAGTTCAGGCAAAGAAAAAGACAGAAGCAAGACAAAGTTGACTCCTTTGTAAAGTCTATTTATTAAACAAAAAGGTAAAGAGCAAAAAAGATGCTATATGTTTGACATAATTAATAAAAACTGCGATTTTTACTCCCTGGAGCAAATTTCAAAAACGAATCTATTTACAAAAAAACGTATAACATGGTTAGTATGAGGGTTAATACGGAGTATGTCTCCCGGACGATGTAATAAAGGCCTTACAACGCCAAGGCATGCTGAGTATCAAATTATCAATCTGATATTTGGGAATATTACACCACGCATCAAACAATGTCCTCCTTAGTTCCGGTAGACAGGTGGGAGGGGGTTGACGGGCTGCAAGTCGTCGGCCAAGCATATCCCACACATGCTCTATTGGATTCAAGTCCGGTGAGTACTCTGGCCAATCCATACGGGTAAAATCCTCTGCACGGTGAGGACGGGCGTTGTCATCCATAAACAAAAATCAGCACCCATGGCGCCCCGAAATAAACGTGCATGTTGTTCCAGAATGATATTCCGATAAATGTGGCCTGTCATCTTGGTGGTAACGGGTACCTGGTGCTCTCCATATTAAAGTCCGGCGAGAATCAGACTGCAAACTAAACCTGAACTCGTCGGAAAACATCACACAAGACCACTGTTGTGGTGTTCACAATGCATGCTCTCTACTCCAGGTTAATCGAGTTGCGGTAAGTGGAAGACATCTGACTGGCCTACGAGCATATAGACAAATGTGCCCTAAGCGTCTGCACACGGTCTGCCTTGAAACTATCGTACCGGTAGCTGAAGAGAGCTGACGAGACAGGTCTAAAGCTGTGCTCCGTCTGTTTCTTTTGGCAGTCACTGCCAAATACCAGTCCTCATTCGGCATTGTAACTCGGGGCGACCTGTGCTGTAACATCTACTCATATTACCATCATCTTGGAATCGTTGCCAAAGCCTGGAGATGACATTCTGGGCGATTCCAAGTTCCTCGCATACTTCCAGCTGGGTATGTCTTCATTTCAGTCGGCCAATAATTCTACCACGTAAAAAATCATCCAAATGCTTCCTTTGTGCCATAACTATGCAATTATTGCTCTGAAAAGCCTTTAAAGCGCTTGTGAACAATTTTACTTTTTTGCCACCATTCCTTAAATACCCTCTCTTACACTCTCGTCATTGTGCCGTACTATCCGCGCCATCTGGTGATTTACTGCAATTTGTATATTATTCTTCAAGATTTGTGTGATAATTCAACAGATGAAATTTTTATTTTAGAATTCTATTTCTGTGTGATTCTGAATTATCCTTAATTTATGGACATGAGTGTACTTCACTGTGAACTCTTGAACTAAAATAATTGATTTTATTAAAAAAAATTAATAAAGAAAAACCCCTTTGTTTATTATTGATACTATTTAAAAAATATAATTTGAAAGGAAGTTTTTTTGAAAGTGAAAAGACACATGCACATTCAACGAATATTCTGATAAAATAATGATTTCACATCTTCTCTCCTTTTGTGTTTCTTTTTTTTTAACGAAAAAATTCTTACGCATTGTTTTTATACATTTTCTTTAAAAAAGTCATTTGGAATTAATATTTAATTATTTCTACATTTATTAAAATTTTTAAGCTTTTTAGGGCAACATAACTTTGTAAATAACATTTGATTCATGAAATGTTTTTATTAAAACAATAATTTAATAAAAATGTTGGTGATAGTTTGAAAATTTGAATTACAGTGTAATCCTTGAAAATATTTTTTTTTTAATTTTCTTCATTAATTAACTCACTTTAAACCTTTCCTGCATTTGCAGTCAACGTGATTTAGTCTTTCACACATAAGATCGCAAGAAAAGAAACAAAATTAAAAAATATGTACAATAGATACACAAAACGGTATACAATAAATTATATTGTACACAATAACGAGTATAGAATATATTTTTTATTATTATATGTATATGGAGA